TGCTTCAATTCATGTACGGTTACTGGATAGCTCTGTAAAACAACATTTACTATTGGCAGAAGAAGTTTTGATTCTTTTCTAGGGAAAAGTAGAAAATGTCTGACTGGATGTCAGGACAATGTTCAGGACTTGTTTATTCTGAGTCTAACAAGGGACTATTATGGATGGTATAATCAAGTAGATGTCAGGAGGGAATGTATCACGTGTTTTTGATAATGCATGCGCAGGAGAATTAGTCTATAGTCAATAAAGGCATTCAAAATTAACTTGAATGGTGCATATTTATTTTTTGTGTAGTTATCTTCCTCAAATAATATTATCTTTGACCAAGACCATTGGCATAGTCGAGAACTGTTAATTCCTAAGAAACTGCTCGTGTATTTAAGGAGACCATTTCTTCACTCTTTTCATCTTGTGTTAGGTTGTTTTCTAACATAGCTCTTATGGATTTTGTTCGAGTTTGGGTGAGTGTTTGGGTATGGTTTTGTATTGATTGTCCTTGTCATTTTTTTTACTAATAAGGGGGAGAAAGGCTTTGTTTCTGTTTTTGTTTTTCTTTTAAGTCTGGTGTCTGTTCCTACAACTCATTTACAAATATGTCAGACTGGATGTTCGATTCTGAGTTTTTGTTTTGTGTCTTATTTTCTGAGTTATGAACATAATTGTGTCTTGTGTTTTGAGTTACCCAGAGTTACAGGCTGCACCCCTGAGTCATCATTTAGACAGTCCAGGTTGATAGTTGGTTACCTCTTAAGGGTTCTCTTATGCTCCTTGAGTGGAAGATTTGTCCCTCCGTTACAAGTAAAGAGTCCTTGGTTAAGGGAGAGTGTCATGGTTAAGGGGGAGTGTTAGTTATCTTCTTCCTCATGTACACCATATGACTTCAGGACTTTCTTCTCCTTCTATCTTGAATTAGCTTTACTATGGTGTTGAGTTAGATGTGATGTAATGGAGTTGTTTGGACTGCTATGAAGAGATGTCGAACATGTTGCCCTGACATCAACTAGGCTGAGAATATTATTTCTCTATGTTGTTGTGTTTAGTAGCTTCTGAAGACTAACTCTCTGACATTTATTTCTGCTGCTAATGTCCCAAGTTGATAAATAATATTGATGAGTGTATGATCACAGCTGGATTTCTGACCTTTTTATTTTTCAATCATGTTGTTGCTGAAATCTGAATTGTAATTTGATTAATTTGTTTTAGCCAAACTTTGTCAAAGGGGGAGATTGTTAATTCTCGTATTTATGATTGGCATTAATTTTAGTAAAACAAATTAGACAGCAACATGTTTAGTAGGATACTCTAACTTGCAAAGTTAACATGTTGAATAAGATGTCCTATGCAGAATCATTTGACATCATATTTGTTACAGCTAGATTATTAGATTCTGTTATTTTGTTACAAAAGTTGAATATTCTTGAAATATTTAGTAAGCATATGTGGTATTCAAGTTTTCTAAATATTGAGATATTTTAGGAAATTAATGATTGAAGATCTATTTTCATGGAGAAGTTTCTGCTGATTTTCTGCAGCAGATCAGCTGCGTTTTTTGGAGCTCAAATTCAGCCCAAAAAAAGGTTATAAAAAGAAGACTTTATACCTAGAGGACATACGAGCCAGAATTGTAAAAGTATTAACCTTTAAGGCTTCGTTTGTTTATTGTTTGTTGTGAGCCACTCTTGTATTGTTTGTTACTTGAGTTGGACTGTTAGTTGGATTGTAATTGTGAATCACTCATAAATTTTTAAGCAAGAGTGAATTTTGTTTATTGAAGGATGTCTCCTTCTTGATTATCAATTACTCCTAAGCTTCTAAATATATAGTGATTATGTGTTTGTGAAGTTTGCTTCTAACTCATTTGAATTATGTTCTCGTCACTGTTTGCGACTGTCACGAAAGTGAGAGGGATCTCATACCTAGATGAGTCTTAGGTAGAAATATAGCACGGATAGTGATTAAGTGAGAAGTTATAAACGAGAGAGTTTAACTTTGAATTGATACTATTTAGTGGATTTCTTTCCTGACTTGATAGCCCCCAGAGTAGGTGTTATTGTACACTGAGTTGGGTTAACAATTATGCGTGTTGTTGACTTATTGCACTGTTTTTATTGTGTTATATTATGTTCATTGCGTTTATGTTCAGAGATTAGTGTCTCAACATCTCTTAGGATGTCCGAGATCTGAATACCAGAATTTTAATAGTAATGTTATGTTGCATAACAATAAATGTAATTTTAAGAAATTTGTTTTTATCATCTAAAAAGAAGTAGTGACGCAATTTGTTACCTATTTGTCTTCTATTTTTATATAATTTTAATTATATAATGAAAATTTACTTGTATACCGTATAATTTTTTTTGTTAACATCCATGAGTTACTTTAACTAGTTGAATCCTTTCATGCATGCATATCTCTCCAACAATAAAGATTAGAATAAAAGAAACGTGTATAGACAAATTTAAATTAAAAAATGTGTGGAAGATGATTCAAATCCCGTTAATACACGCAAAATACTAAATTTAAGGATTGTGAATTTGAATGGAAAGAAGATACATTGGATTAGACCAATGGCCTTATTATACTCGAAGCCACTAACACCAGCCTTTTGATCTTTGTTTTTCTTACTTGGACTCCAATGAAGAATAGTGGAGATGATAGTAAAATCCTAGCCAAATGACTTCAGCGTAGCATTCAGTGATTGGTGTGTAATGTTAATTTGTATATTTTATCCATCTTTATATATGAAAGAGACTCCATGCTATTAGTTTTGATATTTGAATATTTCAACTATATGTATCTTAAATTTATGGTGTATGTGGTTACTTCAAAAGTGAATGTGTACAGTGATGCGTTAAAATATGATTTATGACTACATCTTATTCATGTCAATGGTAGTTTTTAATTAAAGAGTGATTTAAAATGACATTAAGATATAGGAAAGCTTAAAGACCTATCATCTAAGAAAGAGTTCTTGTGAGTGTTCACATCCATAGTAATTTTATTTAAATTTAAGTAAATTATTCTACTTCTTTTATATTATTTTATATTTTATAATTATTTAAATAATTTAACTATATTTTTCAAACATTCATACAACTCATCCAAAATTTTGAAATATTTCTACTTAACCCTTCAATACATCTCAAGAGTTAGTTATATTGTTTTTTTAATTTAACAAAATTGAAAATTATGTTCTTTACTGAAACTATGTTAAAGAATGTTTAAAAATTAAATATCAACAAGACACGTGTCATGAATGGGTTTAATGAAGAGTTTAATTAAATATCCTTGTAAAATATTAAAGAATAGGTTTAGTGAAAAAATAAAACAAAATAAATAAAAAATTTCACCTCAACTTTATAAAAGACTTGAGGTGATATACGCGTAAAAAAAAAATAGTGAATAATAAAAAATTGAAAATAATATATATTATTTTTATTTTTTATTATTCATTATTTTCTTTGTGTGTTGTAATATTAAACAAAAATATTGTATTGTAAAATAATAATATGCTTGCAATTTATAGTATGTTTGAGAGTATATTTTTCAATATTGTTGATCGAGAAAATTAATAAATTATAAAGTGTTTTTTTTTACTGACAACGTATACGATTATTTCAAAATATAATAACGGTTTTGTAAGAGGTGGAAACAACAACACCATTATGTAAGATAGATTGTAATGATAAGAAAAAAAAATTTGTTCAAGGTTAATGTTAGAAGAACAATATACAATGTAGAACTTTGAAATTTTTTTCTGTCTTGTTATTCATCATAAAGAATGATTTGTGATAGTTTGGAATGACTATAAATGAGTTAGGTTTAGGGTAAAACTTAATTTACAAGTGCTTGTATAGTAAAATCTAACTATCTAACCCCTCGATTATTAAAGAAACAAAAGAAATAAATGACTTAATTTACAAATAAAAAATAAAATAAAAAGAATACTACCACTTTTAAAAAACAGTAAAATATGACGCATTAAGGAATTATATTTTTTTTTTGTTGGATTAAATAAAATTTTTATTATTATTATATATATATATATATATATATATATATATATATATATATATATATATATATATATATATATATATATATATATATATATATATATATATATATATATATATATATATATATATATATATATATATATATATATATATATATATATATATATATATATTGCTAGTTACAATTTAGCAAAAAGGACTGGCAAATTACACTTACCCACAGTTTGCAAAATAGTGGATAAAAGGGACATTGTAAATTTTTAGCCATGGTTAAATTATAGGTTTGCCACAATAATTTAGATCGTGGTAATAAATATTAGCTACGATTGTACCGTGGTAGAATAATGTTTTAAAAATTCTAAATATATATTTAATTATGGTTTAACCACAACTAAAATATGTATAATTTCTTTCCTGTTTTGCTACGGTTAAATTCTATTTTAACTACAGTCAGACCATTATTAATTTAAATTTAAATTATTTAAATCCAATTTATTAACCACTAGATTAGCCGTGGCTAAATAGTTTTTAATTTTTAAATAAATCATTAATTTCACTTCATACCAATAAATTTGATGCTTTCAAAACAATAATAAAAAATAATAGAAACAAAATATTGCAAATAAATTGATAATTTCAAATGTCAAACATTAATGTTTGAGTATTTAACAACTACCATACTTCTTATAATAGAACAAAAAAATTATACATCCACTTCATTACATAAAAAACAAAACAAGTATCCGTCTTCCACTTCTTAACAACAAAAAATAAGTATCATAGTTCCATTTCTTAACACCAAAAGATAATCTATTACTTGTGAAAAGAGTGCAACACTTAGTAAATACTTCAAAAATAATTAATTTTGAGAAGCATTGCTATTGAAAATAGATAGTCATCAAATTTATGCTTCATGAAATTGTGAAAAATTCCCAATTGATGTTGTGCTTGTATAAGTTGCTCAGTGGTTTGTGTAAGTTACTCTTTTGTTTTAGTAAGTTGTTCAGTGGTTTGTGTAAGTTGCTCTTTTGTTTTAGTAAGTTGTTCTTTGGTCTCTTCATATCCAATTGGCTTTTCTCCCAAACTTTCTACATTTTTTTTTTGTAAGTCTTCAACATTCTTTTGATTAAAGCTACCAACTTGAATAAAATTTGTGAAATGTCTCCGCATTCCAAAAACATGAGTAGGACACACCCCAAAACCCAAACCACGTACTCGACCTGAGTGCTCAACACCACATATTTTTTCAATAGAGTCGTCACAATAAACATTAATCTTTGATGAGATATCTTCTGTGACAGTATGCTCTTTATCTTCAGATAAATTCTCTAAAATCTTCTCCTATTAATAATAAAGAAACATAATAATTATAATATAATTATAAAGGGATTATTGAGTAAACATGTTGTTTTAGATTGAACTTGCATTTGACTCATACATCATACAAGACCGAAATCGATTGCGCTACATGAGAAAGCCGGCTGACATCGACTGCCCTCGACTAGATCGGGCAGTAACCTCACTCTTCTAGTCGACATGGCTTTGCCCTACAGGGACAATCCCATGAATGGAGAGGAGGACCAAAGACGGTCGGGAGGACCTCGCGAGCATCCTCCACTCTCCTCGTCGACCAAGACAAGTCTTCCGGAAACAACCTCACAGTTGGCGGGGATGGTCCACAATGGACAGCTGGACCTCACGAGCATCCTCCTCGTAGGGATGACTCTCAACACCTCCGGATATCACGGAGTCCTCTTGGTCTCGAAAATACCGCATCCATATCCTCCTGATAGTTCGAAGGAGTTCATCCAGGTTGGGGACCCACGTGCTGGCCTCCACTACGCACGTAGGACCTGAAAGTATCCACTTTGCGCCTGCTTGCCCAGCCCAACGATGGGGATCTTGGCCCAGCGCTGGGGAATATAAATATCCTCTCACTTGAGAGAGTCACGTATTCAATCTCTCATTCTCACTCTCATACTTGCTCGCATAGCTCTGAACCTCACTTTGGCATCGGAGTGTCTTGCAGGTACTCCCCCTCCCCACTTCACATTCAACTGCTTCTCGACTCGAAGCTTGTGGACTTTAACAATCCTTTCTGGTCAGGCACGATCCCTTCTGGTTGGTGCACTATCCGATGTGACGCTTCGCATTCCACGTCAGTCTTATAAATAATTCCTCGGGGCTCATTTATCACATTCCAACTCCCGCTCTTTCCATTCTCTCTATCACTTTAGGTTTTCACCTCGCTTGTTATCTCCTCCAACCGCTAACGTCGTCGCAACCTCTGTTGCGGTCTTCCCACCTACTCTGATCAAGTAAGTGTTTTCCAGTACTGATTGTTATTTACGATTGGCTTTTTGATAAATCTTTGATGAATTTCGCTACCCCGGAGACTTTTACTTGGGGTGTTCATACATCCCTTCGTAACAGTCACGAATGGGCCCGCGAAATTTATCTGCTCCCCTCAAAACTCGTTTTGCTCATGAGATTTATCTGCTCCTAGCAGAATTCATGAATTTTGACGGGGAAATTCATTTGTTCCCCGCAGAATCCATGAGTTTTCCCGGCAACTTCATATATCCCCGATGAATTCATGAATTTTCTCAAGAGGTTTATCCCATCCTCGCGGTGCTCATGAATACTCGTTTTGTCTTCATCAACGCCGCGTGATTGCATGCGTGTGTAACAGCTAGGGGTGGCAAAACGGGCCCGGCCCATTGGGCATGCCCGTTTTATCCGCACTTTAGTGCGGGGCGGACCAAGAATTTAGGCCCTCACCCTTTAATGTGACCGCCCAACCACGCCCCTTTTTCCTCGCGGGCTTTTGCGTGCATGATTATTTGCATAAAATTTTGCATTTTTAGGCGTAAAAGGTGCATTGCCCGTGGGCTTTCCCCGCTCTGCACTCACTTTTTATGGGCGGACCTAGGTTTTAGGCCCTCATCCTTAACTATGTTTGCCCTGCCCCGCTCCATTTTTTTGCAGGCTTTTGCGGGGAGGGCCTAAACAGGGCGGGCATGCCCATTTGCCACCCCTAGTACCAGCTCCCTGTGGTGCTCACGAGTCATGTTTGTTTCTCGCTGCACGAGGGGTCATCGACCTAGTTTAGGCGTAACTATCTCCTTTCACATGTGTCACGGTGGAAGGGTGGATTTGATTTAGCTATCGATCCTGGTCAGTCTAATCGTATCTGACCATAAAGGAATGTCAAAGCCCATAAGCTTCGAGTTGGGCAGCGATTGAAAGTGAAGTGGGGGAGGGTACCTGCAAGACACTTTAATGCCAAAGTGAGGTTCAGAGTTATGCGAGCAAGTATGAGAGTGAGAATGAGAGATTGAATACATGGACCTCTCAAGTGAGAGGGTATTTATAGCCCTTAGCGCTGGACCAAGATCCCCATCGTTAGGCTGGGCAAGCAGGCCCAAAGTGGAGACTGTCAGGTCCTACATGCGTAGTAGGGGTCAGCATGTAGTCCCCAACCTGAATAGACTCATCCAAACTATCAGGAGGATATGGATGCGGTCTTTTTGGGACCAAGAGGAGTATGTGATATTCCGAGGTGTTGAGAGTCAACCCTACATGAAGGATGCTCGTGAGGTCCAGTTGTCCATCGTGGACCATCCCCGCCAACTGTGAGGTTGTCCTCGAAAGACTTATCTTGGTCGACGAGGAGAGTGGAGGATGCTCGCAAGGTCTTCCCGATCGTTTTCGATCCTCCTCGCCATTCATGGGGTTTTCCCCGTAGTGCAAAGCCATATCGACCAGAAGAGTGAGTTTACTGCCTGAGCTAGTCGAGGGCAGTCGACGTCAGTAGGCTTTCTCATATAGTATAGTTGGATTGAGCCTTGTATGATGTTTGGACCAAGTGCAGGCACAGTCTAGAATAGGAGCCCCTCGAGTTGTTGCTCCTGATGAAGGAGTTATGACTTAAATCCAACTTCTCCTTACGGCGAGCATAACTCGGTCGGGGGGTCTTTCACTGTGCCAGAGGAGGGGGTCATCAGTATGCATGGTTGTTCGAGCAGGGGTTGCAGTTGGCTTCATGGGGGACCTTTCAGTTGTTCCTCGACTCGCAGAGAGAGGAAAGTTCGCAGGATGTAGCCACGTGGCGTGGCCTTTAGAATAAAAATGATGGCCTAGGGAGTAGGGGTCATTATGACCTGAGCGCGTAGGCGGCGAGGAGAAGGGCGGTTGGTGCGCTGTCCAACGCGATGCTTCGCATTCCACGTCATCCATATAAATAGTGCTTCAGGGCTCATTTGTCACATTACAACTCCTGCTTTTTCCATTCTCTCTATCGCTTTTGGTTTTCACCTTGCTTGTTATCTTCTCCAACCGCTAACGCCGTTGCAACCTCCATCGCGGTCTTCTCACCTACTCTGATCAAGTAAGTGTTTTCCAATACCTGTTGTTATTTACGATTGGCTTTTCGATAAATCTTTGATGAATTTCGCTACCCCGGGGACTTTTACTTGGGGTGTTCATACATACCTTCATAACAGTCACGAATGGGCCCGTGAAATTTATCTGCTCCCCGCAAAACTCGTGGATTTGCTCGTGAGATTTATCTGCTCCCTGCAAAATTCGGGAATTTTGCCCAGGAAATTCATTTGTTCCCCGCAGAATCCATGAGTTTGCCCGACAACTTCATATATTCCCCGCAAAATTCATGAATTTTCTCGGGGGGTTTATCCCATCCCCACGGTGCTCATGAATACTCGTTTTGTCTTCGTCCACGCCGCGCGGTTGCATGAGTGCGTACTAGCTCGCTGTGGTGCTCATGAGTCATGTTTGTTTCTCCTTGCATGAGGGGTCATCGACCTGGTTTGGGCGTGCTATCCCTTTTCACCTGTGTCGCGGTGGAATGGTGGATTTGATTTAGCTGTTGAATTTATTGGGTTCCTCTGCTTTACAGGTGAAATGGATGAAACCCCCGAATCATCCGAGCAGATCGAGATCGAAGAGACAAGTGCAGCCGACGAGGGCGTTCATTTGATCGACCCGATCGATGACCCGTCGCTGTCTTGGGTCAGGCCAGAAACCCGGGAGATAGCCTCGGTCTTCAGTTACTCCAAAAGAGAATGATACACCGCTGTTGAGTATGGAGGCAACCAAGAGGATTTTCGTCGAAACTTTACGATCCTACGACCGACGCCTACGGTCAGGATATGCTCGAAATTCGAGGAGGACCATTTTCCTATACACGTCTTCCTAATTGTAGCTCCTAACAACATAAATTAAATTAAATTAACAAATAATTATTAATTACAACTTAACTTTGTTGTGCTACATCAATTTCTTGAAACCACTTACCATTTCACGACCCCTTCTTGCATTGCTCTAATTACCACCAGCATGTGAGACTTTAAGTTTCTTACGATTTATAGTATTCTTCTCACTTTGTTTTTTACAATTTTAAACTTTAATACATATATCTAAACAAATATGGCATAGTAAGAAAATTTCCTATAATAAATACTTATACCTTTATTTTGGGATCACAATAATGATGTACAAAAGAAGTCCACTCAATAGGATCGATACTTAAGGAGGATTAGAAAGTATTTCTTCCTTACTTTTGTTGGGATAGAAGTATTGATTTCGTACCTTATATTTATAGGACTTCCATCTTTCCCCTAGTGTACTCCTTACCCATGTGATTCCAGCAGCATAGTCGAACTTAAAATGATCCTTGAAATGTATATTTAGAAGGTTAAAATTTCACTATAAAAGGAACACCAACAAAATAAATTGTAAAAAAATTATAACAATTACCTCAATACATTTCCATTGATCCTTGCTACATTTTTCGGGCATCTCATCCCATCTTTTAACTGATATAGGACAATAGACTGACCTTTTAGCAATTTGGCCTAAGAATCTCATAAGTAAGTTTGAACTATTATTGTTCTGGATTGACCCGAAAGTTTGAGTGGGCTCAGTCTAAAACATCTCATAGGTGTCACCTAATGACCGTGACACGGACTGTCCACACCTGTCGGGCAATGTCTCCCTCTTGTCCTTCTGGTCCAGCGTCGATCCGAGATACCCGTCGAGCGTCTTCTCAGTCTGTCCGACACCAGAGAGGTGCCCGTCAACAGGGACCGACTAGAGAGGTGCCCACAATCAGCCTCCTCCCCGGAACCAACTGCTAGTTACGAGCACATCTTCCCGGTTTGACCAAGTCCTGGCAATTACCTGATTTTCTGGACCCGCATATCTAGGAGGGAAATCAGGAACCAATGACCATGTGCCATGGGTATTATATAAACCCTCACACCTATGAGGGTCAGGTATCACATATTCACTACTCATTACCTGATATTTTGCTAGTACCTTCTTGCTCCCACTCTTACTTGATCGTTGGAGTACCTTGCAGGTACAACCCTCTCTCTCCTCAGCCCAAATGAAGACCATCCTCCGGCCACTCTCTAGGTTTTGATCAACCGCAAGATCAGTGAAGCCGTCTGTGAGAAACTATTATCCCCATTTTTCTTCCCTAGAAACCTAAGATCAAAGCAACTATTCTTTCAAGATCCATCTCTCTTATCATGGCCGTCTATAATGATCTTTACATGCCCGGAAAGACCATCATTTCCCCCGCTCGTAAGACTGATGGAAGCCAAGAACACCCTCACCTTGAGGACAACCTGGGCTTCCGTGACGGACAAATCGCGTCCCCTGATTCAGCTGATGCCCGACGTAGTGACGACCAACTCTTGGATGAAGAATGTTCCAAGAATTCTGTTGAGGAACTACCAAAAATCTTGCAACCGACTTCTATCCCTCTCAACATCGACCCGGCCATGGAAGCACTGCTCGCTGCCTTAAATCAAACCAACACCCTCATCCTTCAACAAAATAAGAGAATAGGGGCCTTGGAGAACAGACGCTCAAGATCTCCTCCTCGGAGAGCCCGAAGACGAAACTCTCCCAGTGCATCACCACCCAGGCGTGGTCCACCGCCTAAAAAGGAAAGGCGCGACGTTTCTTTCTTCAAGAAGCGCAATCGCACACCTTCTGCCCGAGATCAAGACTCCCCTTCATTCAAGAAGAGGAGGGACAACAGGAAAATCGACTGCACTCGATTGCCCTCTCCCGAGCCAAAGCAGAAATGAAGGAGCCCCTCCCCTCGACGGGACCGTGACGATCGACGGGGGAGGAACTATCACTCTCCTTCTCCATCTCCCGTCAATAGTGAAGATGACGAGCCCCATGTCCCGCTATCGAGGGAGATCACTGAAGCTCTGCTCCCTGTTGGTCTAGAGAAGCCTCTCACTCTAGGGACCTACGACGACACGACAGATCCTGATGAGCATATCGAGAACATTGATGCACTCCTCGACTACAGAGGGGTCAAAGGCGCCATCAAATGCAGACTCTTCCCGACCACTCTCAAGAAGGGGGCGATGGCATGGTACAAAAGCTTGCCCGACGAATCCATCACCTCATGGAAACAACTCGAGAAAATGTTTTCAAGGAATTTCACTACCTCCCTCCGACACCCTAAATCAGAAGCTTCGCTCGAAGCGATCATACAGGGCAGGGACGAATCTTTGCGGGCATACATTGAATGTTTCAACAAAGAAGCGGTTCAGGTCCTGATAACGGACAATATGAAGAAATACCTACTCGAGTGCAGGCTCCGTCCCCGTAGCGACTTTGCCAAGGCTGTG